ACAGTGCTATTTTATTAAACAAAGTTTACATGTTTGTTGCTGTAATGATAGATACTACGTTTTCCTACTTTTTCATCAAAGAAAATTACTGTATATTACAAATAAAATGACAAAAATTTCGGAGACTAGAATGGATTAATTGCATTTGCATTAATTTCTATGGGAAAAATTGCTTCGGTTAACGAACAATTCAGTTAACGAACGGAGTTGTGGAACGGATTAAGTTCGTTAACCGGGGTTCCACTGTACTTAATTAAGCTAAAAAATAATACATTTTAATACAGTATTTATTAATAGCACTGATGTGTTCATAGCTTTGAATTGTAAATCTTTGTGATCTTCATAAAATACAAATTCAGTCAACTATCATATCCTAACATAATAGTTTCTAACTTAGACATTGTATTGTGTTTCAGTTATGGTTAACATTTTCCTGAAAAATGTCTGATTTTCAAGAATGGATTACTGACATTAAACACATGATGCCTATATTCTGATAGAGATAAAAGGATCCTGTGAATTATATTACACAATTTTTTTGCAATAATTTCTATTTAAGATATTTTGATAAATTATTGGGTAACATTTAACCATATAATAGTGGTTTTCTTTGCTTCAATTGTTAATGTTAGCTGAAAAATTTAAATGAGCACATGTCAGTTCTTTTATTGTTTTTATTACTTAATTTCAAAGATATGCATGTAACATAGAAAAATATTTTCATTATGATACTTTTACCCTACTTATCACAAAATTCAAACTTAATAGGTAAATACAGAAGTTAAATATGCATGCTTGATTTACAAATCTTCCTTATTGAAAAAAATAGTAATTCAATAAATTTAATTATTCTTTTCTCAATAAATATCATACAGAATGCACTTGTTCTATTTTACAAGTACTGATATGCTTGCATTATTTATTCCTTAATTCCTTCTAAATGTATATTTAAATAGCATCCTTCTCATTTGTATGCTATGAATTACTACTCTAATATCTTTAGGAAATTGAAGTAATAGAAATCATCAAGAGTAAGATCTGAATTATGAAGAATAATATCAATAGCTGTTATGTCAAGTAATGAAGTTTTGTAATAAATTAATATCCCAAAATAAAGACATCTTTTTGATAAATAACAGAACATTTCTTCCTCAATACACTAAAAGTATCTTGTAATATTTTTCAAATTTACACATGTTTTGTGGAAATAAGAGTGAAAAATCAATGAGAAGACTTTTTACATCCTGAAACGCTAGTCATAATTTTCCTAAAACTATTTTTTGGAAGTCTCTTTCAGAAAATTGATTGTTGATATTTTTTAGTCCAGACATATAATGAGAGACTTAGATTTCATTTCTGATGATTCAATATAGAGTACTGGCTTTCTCACTGAAATATCACTTCATTTCTTTGCAAATAAATAAATATTAGTCAGACTGAAAAACAGTAATGAATGTCTTAGTATTTATCACCCAGATATCTTCCAAAAATGCAGATATTGATGAATAATAGTGTCAGTAGTGTCTAATATTCAGTTCTGTGTTCTCAGAAAATTTAATAAAATGTAACATTGCTAGCAGTAATAATCAATTGCTCCATTCATTCATTGGATATCAATGCAATTACAGCTTAATTACAGTGTGAAACTAGTATGTCAAGATTACCTCACATTGACAATCTGTTATTTGATAAATGTCAAAATAAATAATTTATCTTTGATCTTTCTCTGCAAAGTTTATACATGCAGTTTTATATGTATTTCTTTTCCAAAAGTTATGCTTATAATTTTGTAAGTTTTTGCTAATTTTACACAAACAAATTATGATTATTTCTTGTTCTAGTTATATTATCTGCTAGTTAACATAAGATAATTCAACTTGCAGTCTTTGTCAATCTATTGTCATCTGTTTGTTGGAAGATATTTCATACTAATAACAAATCAAAACATTCATATTTATCAGGTTTTCTAAATAGATCCTAAATTTTGACCAGGTAAATAAATCTAAAAATTTATTCCTAATTTACTTACCTTGACTAAATCCTGTAAATGTAACATATCCTCCAATTCCAAAAACTAATATTAGAATAAATGACAGACCCATACTGATGTGTGTAATACGATTCCACCTGCCCTGAGTTGGATTTTCAAGAGCATCATATAACAGAAAAGAATTGTGGTGACACATAAATGCTGAAATTTGTAAAACAAAAACTAAATATAAATTACATACATTATAGTATAATAATAAAAAATATATAAAACTTTTTACCAAATGCAATGACTCCAATAGCATCAGTTATTCCCCAATTGGCAAAAGAATATGCATTAGATGTAGCTGGACTAAAATTTAAAATCAGATTTAAAAAAAGTAAAAGTCATATAAAGTTTTTAGAAATATATAAAACAAATTATTCTTAAACAATAGAAATACTAATTTTAAATTATGAATGTAATATACAAGGGGAGTCTGATATTAAAGGTACAGGCCAAAATTACACTAACATTTATAATTAATTAATTAATTAAAGAAAATATTTAATACATTCCACAAAAACTACATACTTTTGTTTATTTTTCGACATAATCACTATACTGTAAACGTTGAGACATTTATTCCAGTGTGGAACTAGTTTAAACGTCCCTTCACGGTACTGTTGCTCATCAAGTTCCTTGAAGTAGTCCAGAACAGTGTCTTCCAATTCCTCCTGATCTGCAAAGTGTTTCCCCACCAAAAATTTCTTTAACCTATTCCCTGGTATTCCCGATATATCTTGGGTCGCAACATGATGACCTTGACCGGTGGACCCAAGATATCTCGTTTCAGCATTGAAACATTTTTGAAACTAGATGTCACTAGTTGTTATAATTTTTATATTAAAACTAACTTCCAAAATATAATTTTTTTTCTTTTTACATTTATTAATATATTTATTTTGTTTGTGCAAAATAAAAAAATAATTTTGGATGATACAATAGCCAGAATTATTTTTCAAAAACTTGTAATTTTCATTCAACATCAACAAAAATTTAACATGGCGTGACATGCAATGGAGAAAAATTTCAACATAGGATAGGTTAAAGGTCCGAATAAATGAAAATCCATGGGGGACTAAATCTAGACTATACAGAGGATGTTGCAGGACCCCCCAGTTCCACTGTGCCAACCACAGTTTGGTTTGATTTGACTTGTGGAGTATAGTCCAGATTTAGCCCCCTCAGATTTTCATTTATTCAGAGCTTTAAAGAAATGTTTGGGGGAAATGCTTTATGGATCAGGAGGAATTGGAAGACATCATTTTGGACGACTTCAAGGAACTTTACAAGCAACAGTACTGTGAAGGGATGTTTAAACTAGTTCCACGCTGGGATAAATGTCTTAACGTTTACAGTGATTATGTCAAGAAATAAACAATGTATGTAGTTTTTGTGGAATATATTAAATAATTTCTTTAATTATGAATGTTAGTGTAATTTTGGCCTGTACCTTTAATATCAGACTCCCCTTCGAACAAAAATTAACAAAATATTCTGATCACGAGTGCAATGAGATTGAAATTCCTGTGCACTCTGGGTAAATGGCTTCTAGTCTCCATTTGTCAGTAGTAGTGCTGTTTGTTTGAATGCAATTATGCAGTTTAGTGGATTTTATTTCAACAAAGCTTTCTATCAGTGATTACAGTTTCATTAATTAAAAATCAACTTTATTTTCTGCTTATTTGTTATCTTAACTAAACTTGTTTTCTTACCATTAAATATAAAAAAACATCTGTAATTATATGATAATTTACATTTTTGCTTATGTTATAGTTGCCTCTTTCATTTCATATTAATTTCTTTATTATTAGTAATAACTTAATAAACATTTTCGTTTATTTTATTTAGAATTATTTGTTGATAGGTAAATTGTTTCATAGCACTTTAATATTAATTTGCAGAAGACAGCTAGACTAACTGAATTATGCTGCAACAAAGTATTAATTTCTACTGTAAGAAATAATAGAAAAGCTCATTCCTATTTACAAGGTTTTGATTTATAAGAAGTTTTCATGAATAAAGTATGCTTGTAAATCAAGATCACACTGTATTAAGATAATTAAAAGATGAAGATAAATAAATATAAATAATATTAGTGTCCCTTAGCCAGAAGTAAATCATTGGAGACTAGAGGACTAAGCTGAAAAAATTGTGATGTATTTTTCTCTTTTCCAGCCCTAGACCTATTATCTACAGTCCAAGTAAAAAAAAAAAGTAATAGTTGTCCAAGTTTATGTGATGAAAGTGAAAGCATATATTATATATACTGCATATGGGCACTGTTGTCTTAAGCTGAGAGGACTTGATAGCTACTGTGCATGTGTATCTGATTAATCACCTATCTATGATGATGAATGATATTTATTATTAACTTGATTTTATTATTGACTTTATAAGAATTCTATCTATGATGATTAATTATTATTAATCATCATAGATAGGTGATTAATCAGAGCCATAGTTGCAGGATGAGGTGGCTAGTCCCTCATAAATATTATTGTATCATCATCAAAATACTGAGCTGCAATTTTTAATAATCTTTTAATTTAAAAATCATGTGACTTCCAGTTCAGACTGGAAGTTTGTATATAATTAATTACTAATTAATTCAACTAAAAGTAATTGGTTAAGCTGCTATCTTGTATTTTTATAATTATTAAAATGAATACAATGTGACATAGTTCATATACAGTTAATTGGGGCCTCTTGTCCCTAAGATTTCCATATCTGGTCCCGATTTTAATCAGTCTAACTCTGTTTTTGAGATTAACAAAGGGCAGATGGACAGACAGATGACAGTAGGAATGTATAGGTCTGCAATCTGAAAATTGCAGTTCAAAAATAATGACTCCATACATAATTAATAATCAAATATATGGATAAATCAAAAGTAACTTTACAAAGTCAACAGAGATTTTTTTTGTGTAAATAAAAAATACAGGATTTATCTGTAAATAATATGCTATTTTTTAACAAAATTACTCAGCCTCTTTAAGCATTAATTGCAGCTTGCTTGTTCTCTCTGCTGCTACAGCCACCTATCAATAACAACTTTCACTTCTTCAGTAGCAAAATGGTAACAACATACATTCCTTCAAATGCAGAAAAATATGAAAGTCAGAACAAATCAAACTTTATGGAGAATAATGAGAAATATTGAAACATCTGCAGCAAATCCATAGTCAGTGTGTCATATGCATTTTCTTATCCTCTTGAAAATCACTGACACCATTCTGTGACATTTTCTTGAGACATAGCATTGTCCCCATACACTTCAATGAGCTGATGAATTTCCGCAGGTAAAACATTCCTAAGTCCACAAAAATTAAATGACTGTTTAAACTTCTTTGGAAGACTACTTTTCTAAAATCTTGTTTAGAAATCTAGTCACAATTGTCCTGCATTCACAAGTCAATTCTAACCATATAATGTTACTGATCTGCATCATCACTAACTACTTAGCTTGGGGTTGCACTCAACAGTGCTTTGGTTTTGAAATTGTGGATTTTGTAAAGTTACTTTTTGGTCACCCTTTTGGTCATTACTTTTTGCTTTTTTTTATGTAAAAAAAGCAGAAACATTATTGAGACATATTTTGTTTATGTAATGAATTTGGGTAAAAAAAATTAATAATGCAGTCAAGTTAGAAATTTAACACGAAATCAGGTGAAAAAAAGGGTCGTTCAATAAATTAAAAATATGTTTCAATTCAATGCCACAATCATGTTTAAGATCAATAAAGTTAACAGAAACACATGCCACAAAGCTATTAAGAATTTGTATTTTGCCATACAGTATGAGCAAAACACAAATATATTCATTTTTCACTCAAATATTAACTAAATTATTATTTATGAACAAAAGTTTTTACATATTATTCAAATTTCAAAATCACAGAACAGAGAATAGTTAATCAGAATATATATGTCATATATATTATTTTATCATCTTCATTCATTTTATAGGTCTGTTCGTGTGAGGAACACTATTGATGATATAGCTATCATGTGATCAACATATACATCTGTTATTATTTTATGAAATTATAGCTTATGTCAAACCTCAAACCTGAAATATCTTAAAATATTTTTCTCTAAAACAATAAAAATTATCTATAAAAAATTTATTGTTAATGTACAAGATTTTGCATAAGTTTGGTCCCATAGGAGTTATGAGATGTTTGTTCTTTTGCAGGTGAAGCATGAAGCATGGCATTGAATAAGAAGGAACAAATTAAAGTTATTTTGATGGTATGAATCTGCAGTCAGTATGAAGTTGCCAAAATGTTTAACAGGCTGTATCCAGACTTCTTATCAATCACATACAGTGATCTGGATGTAGCCTTTTAATACTAGAATTATGAATGGAGCCAAATTGACCCTGGCTGCATATTATTTTTCTAGTAGTTCATTTATTGTATATTTGATTGGCTTGAAATTTTACAAGTTTTCATGAATTGGTGATTTTACCACATAGTAAAAAATGTAACCAAATAATTTTAAAGGAATCCAAGAAAATTGAATACATCTATAATTATAGTCAAGGGTTAGTTTGACACTATGCATTATACATGTATTTGTCAATTTTCATTGATGGCTGACAAGCTGCTTTCAAAGCTTTTTCTATAGTTACTGGAAACTATAGTATAGTCATAGGTTAAATGTTTGTTATGTGCAGGACAACACATGCACGGCTTTAAATTTAAACTTATAGTTCAAATGGGCATTCAAACTACATTTAAAAACTTTTGTAAATTCATGTTTGTTCCAAACAACATTCCATTAGGTAACCATTGTTACACCCGAATAACTCAAAAGGAGTAAGAAAACATTTGGGCACAGATTTTTTTTTTTTGTTTTCTTTACACTGGTAATTGGTTCTGTGTTTATTACTGGGAATTGCTAAATAAAAAGGGAATATTCTAGCAGAAACTTTATTTGTTGATCAGCAAGCATTAAGAAAACATGCCTCTTCACTGGCGTAAAGATCTTAATCCAGAAGATTTTCAAGTATTTTCAAGATTTATCTGAAAATGAATTGGGGAAACAATACTGCTGGATTTGAAAGCAACAGAAACAAGTATTTTCCTAAGAAAGTCCTGAATCAGTGACTCAGAGCAAGTTGGAGATATGGAGGTACCACTTCAACTTTAAATTCCTGCTGCTGCTGACCTGGCTAAGAACCACTTTGCTGGCCCAAATGATAATCTTCAAGCATCATATATTTGCTTACTCGAAATTATTATTATTATTATGATTATTATTTATTATTGTGTGTATACTATCTAATGAGTTTGAAGTTCCAAA